CCGACCATGTGGCATCTGCCATACGGAATGCAATAATCGTCCTTTATCTTTGCCCTCTGTGATTCAAGTTCTAGGATTTCTCCTCCTCTATGCTATAGGAGTTCTGTGTTACAAGAAAGGTAGTATACAGCACAGGGGACAAGTTCTCAAGTGCAGCACAAGTGAACACATAGATGGTGGTAAGTTATAATGGAATTTTACTGTTTGAATAACTGCAAATGCCGAAGCCATAATTCTGCAATAATTACCATATCTTTGAGAACTTTCTGCACCATCAGTGAGAAAACAGAATTCAAAATTATCAAACAAAATCATCTTGAAAACCTAGTTTCTTCTGAGCCAGTTTTCTCTCTTCTAAGCCTGCCTGCTGATAAAAGGTGGCACATATCTTCTGGCATAACAGTAATATGCTTGCCCCCCTCAAATTACTTGATGTTCTGCAAGAAAGAAAAATCTCACATATCTACACCTCTAAACCCTTTTATCACATGTCAGCATCTAGTCTATTGAAAATAAAGTGAAACCTGGAAAGCCAGTCCGCAGTATATTGAATATGTAACTGATTCACCAGGTTGTTCTCCGTCTTCCCTTTCTCTTCAAAATGAAAGCACACAAAAGAAGGGACTCCTTGCATATTCAGGGCAAAGCACTGTGACAATGAACTCATTTGGAATGGATTTTGGAAACTCTTTAGTCTCCAGATTTCTATGACACTCTATTTTCAATACGATCCATTTATTTGTCACTCAGTCTTTTTCTTTTATTCAGTCTGTGCGGGTCACCTAACCATCACCCACTGTGTCACTGTGTCACTGCATCAAGTCTGAAACTAGGCATTCTAATTTCTGACCCACTGCTAGTTCCGTACATCCTGGATTCACGCTCATCAAGTCCTCTCTTGCCCCCAGCTTTTGAACGTGCTGTCCTCTCTGCCTAGAAAACCCTGCCTCCCCTGACTCATTTTGCTGGACAAACTCCTGGTTATCCTTCAGGATTCCATTTGGACTTCATTTCCTCCATGCAGCATCCCCGGAGGCCCTGATCAGAGTGGGTTGTCACACTTTGTCAGGCTCTGCCACACCATGCTGTGCTCCCAATTTATAGGACCTACACATGAGACGACAACTACCCACTTATCTGTCTCCACTGAACTAGCTCTGAAGGCAGTGAGCACATCCATCCTGCCCACTGTGGTGTCCCCAATGTCCAGCAAACTGCCTACTCATCAAAGGTGCTTAATACATATTTAATGAATGAATGCATCAGTAATTCGACAGTAAGCAAACTGTAAAATATTTTTATAACTGTCTTATAAAATAGGGATCCTCAAGTTCCAAAGTACTTAAGAGAATAACATCTAATGAAGTATTTTTAATCTAAGATAATTACCAAGTCAATCAAAACACAGCCACTCTTAATTTAAGCCAACTTTGTTCTACTCATTTAATGGAATTGGCTAAACAGAGGCTCAAATAAGTGCTTGTTAATTACACTAATTAACCAATGTTTGCATGGTTGCATTAAAATATATGAGCTCTCTAAGTCCTAGTTAAAATCTACAGCTAAGGAATGTTACAGCCAGTACCAAAAGGAGATGCTGCATCCCACTGGTAACTCCCTAGAAATCCAGTGGCCGATCTCCCAGATGTATGAAGAAAGCCTGTGGACAATGTCTTCATATTTCATCCTTATTTTATAAAGAAGTTTATGTACACTCCCTCTTGTATTCTCAGGGACTGGTACAGAGCCTTACAAATCGTAGCTACTCAGGCTCCTGATAGGGAGGTAAATGATCACAGAAGGCACTTTTCCCTAAAGGCACTTGCGGAGTCCGACAAATTCCAACTTCCATTTTGATGGTGAAGGAACAGAAATCACCTTCATAAAAGGTGGAAAGTCTAACACGAGATGTTCCTTACAATAAAGGGAAATCTAATAGCCATGCAGTGAGAATGAATTGGAAATAAACCAACTCTAATGAGGAATTTAACTCTGGGATTAACCTAGGTGTTCTAGAGAACTTTAAGCCTTGACTTTAATCGACTTAACCTGTGCGTTAAGGTTAAGGTAGAAAGGCATTTCTGCCAGGCACTTGGCAGAAATAAAAAGCAGGTTACTGTATTATACAAATAATTTTCCAAGTATTATGACCACCACATAGTCAAAGATAATCAGGCACACAAGGAAATACAATACCATGAGCACAAACTGGCGGAGATCTCAAATTGACAAAAAATAATATCTAACTTTTGTTATTGTTTACCAATATGTGTGGAAATGAGGAAATGCCTCTCTACTTCTTCATAATAGGAATCATAGGAATTGGAGTATGGAGCTAAAAGACAGTGAAAATACTACATACCAAAACTTGTGGTAAAATGGTACAGTCACTTTGGAAAACAGGTTGGCAGTTCCTCAGCAAGGTAAGCATAAGTTACCATATGACTCAGCAATTCCACTGCTAGGTACATGCCCGAGAGAAGTGAAAGACATTCACACAAACGTTCACAGCAGCAGCATCCACAACAGCCAGACAGTGTAAACAACACCAATGTTCACCAGCTGATGAACGGATAAACAAAATGTGATAGAGCCACACAATGGATATTATTCCGCCACAAAAAGAATGTAAGCTATATGCTAAGTTAAAGAAGTCAAACACAAAAAGCTATGTTCTATGTAATTCCATTTATATGAAATAGCCAAAGTAGGCAGATTCATGGAAACAGACAGTAGATGAGTGGTAGCTGGGAGCTTGGAGGAGGGGGGCATGGGGAGCAGCTACAAATGGGGATGAGGGGCCTTTTTGTGATGGTGAAAATGTTCTGGAATTGGATAATGGTGATGGCTGTGCAACCTTGTGAATACACTAGAAATCACTGAATTACACACTTCAAAAAGGTAAATTTTATGATATGTGAATTACATTTCAACTTTAAAAGCTTTATGGAATGCAGCTATGCATTTAAGCTATTTATAATCTTAAATGTATATATTAAATAATTATTACTAGTTTACTGATAAGAATACTCTCTAGTTTACTTAATATTCTTTTTTTTTTTTTTTTGACAGGGTCTCACTCTGTCACCCAGGCTGGAGTGCAGTGGTGTGATCACAGCTCACTGCCACCTCAGCCTCCCAGGCCCGAGCAACCCTCCCATCTCATCTTCCTGAGTAGCTGGGACCACAGGCACATGCCACCACACCCAGGTAATTTTCTATTTTTCTGTAGAGACACAGTCTAGCTATGCTGCCCAGGCTGGTCTCAAACTCCTAGGCTTAAGTGATCCTCCCACCTCGGCCTCCTAAAGTGGTGGGATTACAGGCATGAACCACCATGCCCAGCCTAATATTCTTACTAGTAAGAATTCTACACTAGTTTGGTTACTATTTTAATAGTAAAGATATAGTTGAAAATATCTGTAAGAAACATTAACTTATAAAACTACAGGAAATTTTAAAAGAACCAAGTAAAATTCTAGAAATAAAAAATATAATAACCTAATTAAAACCTGATGGGATGATTTGATAATGGACTAGACACAGCTGAAGAGAGAAGTAATTAACTGGAAGGTAAGTTGGATAATCATTACCCTTGATCATGTAGTAAGTGTGTTCACTCTAAGTGTTAAGAAGTATCAAAATGTCTGCAACTTACCTTCAGATAGTTCAGTAAAATATGTCTCTCTACATAATGCGTATATAAACATGTTTAGCAACAGAGGGAGATAAAGTGTACATGGCAAAATGTTAACAATTGCTGAATCTGTGTAAAGGGCATGTTTTCAATGTAAAACTGTACAACCTTCGTTTCCAAACACCACACACTATTGTTTAATTCCTACCTGGGTGATGGGTTATTCTCAGTTTCCTTCATTGGTGCTTCAATTTTTTCTTGATCTCTTTGTTATAATGGCATAGGGCTCAGGCCTTCAACTTCTCTCCATGATCATGCTTAGTCCATTGATCATTTCATTTCGTCTTATAGTTTAAACCACCAAATTCCTAACTGCCTGCCTCCATCCCAATCTAGACTCCCTCGAAATCTCAGCTTTCACGTCCAGGTGCCTACTTGGCTATCTAACACATAATTGAAATTAACATATCCAAAAATGAATGTCTCTAAATATTCTCTACCTACAGCCTTCCTCATCTCAGTTGATGGCAATGTCATCTTGAATTTCAGTTGCTCGGTCCAATACTTTGAATCTGTCACTGACTCTTCTTTCTCTTATATATTTTGTCCAATCCATTAGTGAATGCCTGAACTAATAACTTCTCACTCACCCTCACTATGCCCATCCAGCTTTGAGCTGCCATCAGCTCTCATCTGAAGACCTGCAACAGCTTACCTGCCTCACCTCATGTTCTTGTACCACTTCCCCTGCCAAAGCCAGAGCAATCATTTAGAATCAGAGTCACACATTATTTTGTATCCTAAATCCCATCCTAATTTTTATTTCACAGGGTAGAAGCCAAAATCTCTAACAATGGTTTTTAAGAACCTATGCCATCTGTCAGCTTTGCTCCATGACCTTGATCTTGGTCTGCTCTCCCCTTTGCTCACTTCACTCCAGCCACACCAGCCTTCTTGACATTCTTCAACGATGCCAAATTCCTCCAGCTTTAAGGTCTTTTCAGTGACAATTCCCTTTATCTCCTAATTCAGTCTGCCTCGTGAAAACCAGTTTCAATTAGTTTGGGAGCAGGACTCTGGCATTAGTGTATTTTTAAAATGTTTCCTATATCTTCAAAATAATCAGGATCATTTTTGCCTCAAGTTGGTAATTGTTGAAACTGAGTGATGGGCACATGGACCCATTACACTATTCTCCCAGACAAATATAAAACTAAAGGAAAGCTGCTGTGGTGATTCCAGTGTGTAGCAGGGTTGGGTATCACTGGCCTGTAATCCCCAAACTGGATTGTTTTGCCCATAAATAACTGAGACATTCCTATTTGAAAGCCTGTCTTAACAAATTAAAAAGATACACATAAGATGAAAAATATCAAATTTATTTTCTGAAATAGAATAAGAAGTATGCATTTGAATTCACTTTGCAATATACATTGATAATAAAAACACTTGTTTTATGTCCTGCTTCTTTCCATTTAACTCCCAACACTGGCATCTGGAAGAAAAAGATTTCTGGCCCTTGGTTTGCAGAAGCTAAAACTTGCAAAAGAACATGTGAAATGTATATCCCAAACTCTATTCTCCTGGGTCACCTCGGAGGCTTAACAAGCTCCATACAGTTGAAAGATAAAGAGCTTCTTCCTGTCTCCTTAGCCAAACGCTCCTGAATAGTCATTTACAGTTTGAGGTCTTACCACAATTTTCACTAATGCTTAACCCAATTAAGGTACAGAGCATGAAAGAATGAAATTCTCTTATGTTTCAAATGAACTAATATCTAAATCTGAAATTATTAAAGGTGACATCTTTCCCTTTTAAAAAATAAACCACCCAAATGAAATTATTGGTCTGAAAGATACTTGTTAATAAACCTGAAAAGGAAAAATTAAACCATCCCCCTTTTTGCCATAGTAATACGAATGTATACAATGTTAACTTAAGTCTTGGGGAAGTGGAACCACATGAGCTCCATCAAAAAGAGATACTGCAACAATTAGATTTGATCTGCGCTCCCCTCAGAAGACTGGGGGACCTGTGAAGACTGGCTCATTTGTGAACTATTCAAACTCATGCTCATCAGATGACTATTGATGACACTAAGTTCTTGGATCACTGTGCTCAGATCTTCATGTAATCTAGCTAAAGCACTTTTTATCTCCCTTAGAAGAACACTAATGGAATTCTTTGCTTCAAGTTCCCTGGAGAAGTCTTTGGTTGACTGAAAATCACAACAGGACAGAGCGATGAACTGGTCTACATTTTGGGTGGAAAACTCTCCCCAGTGACTACTAGAAATACGGTCTACCCCACTGGTAGAAAAGCCTCCCCAGTTACTACTAGAAATACGGTCTACACTCCTGGTAGAAAACCCTCCCCAATTACTACTAGAAATACGGTCTACACTCCTGGTAGAAAAGCCTCCCCAGTTACTACTAGAAATACGGTCTGCATTTGGGGTGGAAAACTCTCCCTGGTGACTACTAGAAATAGGACTTATATTGTTTTTAGCCAAATCAGAGTTGTTTGGACGAATTCCCAGTAGATTGAGGTTGTCATTTTCCTCTGCCTCAGAAGACACTGGGCCCCTAGAAGCAAAGGAGGGATGCAGCTTGGCTGACTTATCCTTATCTTTAAAGGAGGTAGAAGACATCTGTTGATGCGACAAAGTCCAGAAGGAAGGTCTGGCCAGAATCGGGGATGAGAGATGAGCTGACTTCTCTGGAGAGGCTAAATCAGGAGATGGCATGGCTAAAGGAGAAAAAGGAGATGCTTCCTCAGGCAGTTGAAACTAAAATGAGAGAAAAAGATGTATGCAATGTACAAATGGGAGTAATAGCTGAAATAATTTTATAATGTAAAAGCCTATCTGGAAGGGCTCAACATAAATAAACTGCTTAGAATTTTAAATGTTAACTATTCATACTAAGCTTAAAAAAACCCAAAGCAGGAAATTAAGAACATCTACAGATGTATTATATATCAATAATACCATGGAAATGAAGCTAAAATAGAATTATCAATATTCATCTTGACTCATCTTGACTCAAACCCTGCCCAACATATTTTTACACTAAACTTAATCAGAGAGAGCAGAAAAGTATTAAACCCCATTCTACAGACTGCCAGTATTTTAAGTTGGTATTTAAAGTAGAAAGTCTAAGAAAACTGTAACAGATTCCTTCAACTTTAAAATTTTTTTTCCTGTAGAGATTATTATGGCAAGATGAACTACCCAACTACAAATATCCAAAAGTTAGTGAAATAAATATTTTTCTCTCTATAGTGAAATATAATCAAGACTGAAGTCCAATCCATCTGAGCTCTAGAACACTTTGGCAAATGTATATCATCGTTTTTTTTCTCACCAAGAAACTAAAAGTAAAAAGCATTGTAAAACTTTTTTTGTTTGTTTCATAAAATTACAGATTTCGTAAAGTTTTTACTTCTTTTCAGGCAAAATCATCTTAAATCTCCCACACTTCATTCTAAATCATTATTTCTCAAACTGTGCTGAGAAACACCGTGTTCCTTCAGATGTTAGAAGATGTTTTGTAGAAAAAGGCTTCAAAGGCTTTGTTGTCAATAAAACTGGGCAATTGCATACTGTGCCTCCAGAAGGAAATTAACAATGTCTATAAGTGCATTTAAAGTTCTGAGAAATCTTTGGTTATTTATTCAAGTGTTTCCCAAGCTTTCTTAAACATGTAACTTTTTTTCTTCTTCTTGGAGCATCTGTTGACATTCACTTATGATATGTGATACAAATTGGTGGAATCCAGTTCTAAACTTTTTGCAACTAACTCTGAACTTGCTACTTTAAAAAAGAAATTCATTGTAAGTCACAGAAGAGGGAAATTGATGCTTACTAAGGAGAACACATGACTTATTTTTCTACTATTTTGTTTTGCTTTACTGTATTCATGTCCCTTCTAAACTAAATTGGACCTCCTGTAAAAACTATGGCCAGGGTAGGTGGTTTCTATTTTTCGGCTTCAAAGTTTTCCATGGCCTATCCCAAGTTCTCAGGAAAAATTCCAATCACAAAACTTTTTTGGGGATGAAATATATTCTCAGCTGATGCAACAGCAGGGACATGAAAAGGAAAGCAGGAACTTCAACAGCACATGGTCAAGAAAAGCCAGGAACAGTTAGGAATCTAGGTCAGGCTAATCGAGACATTCTATCTTTGGATTAACAAGATGGAAAGATGGTAGTGGGCCTGTTAACGACGACAGCCATGAGAAGAAAACGTTTTGAGAACTTGCATGTCTGAAAATGTCTGTACTCTACTTTTAGGCTTAATCATTCTTTCGGAAGTTTGAAGGCCGCATTTCACTGTTTTCTTGTTTCTAGTATTGCTGCTCAGGGGTGGGAGCCATTCGAATTCTTATCCATTGCATAGAACCTGTTTTTTCTCTGAAGCATCACAGAATTTCTTTTGTTTCAGAGGATTTGGAAGCTTCTCAGTGATGTGCCCTGAAGTGAGATTATTTTCACTTACTGAGGTCAACTCAGTCAGGCAACCTATTTCCTTCAGCCCCAGAACTTTTCACTAAATGATTGAATCACTGCTTTTCTCCTCTGTGTTTTCTCTGTTGTCTCTTTCAGAACCTCTTGTCAGATATTAGATCTCCTGGGCCGGTCCTGTCGTTTTCCTGCTTTTCTTTCCCTGCCTTTGTCCTTTTGCTTTCCTTCCATGTAGATTTTGTCAATGTTAGCGTTCAGTCCTCTCACTGATTTCTTATATTTCTGCTATTATATTTTTAAATTTCCAAGAGCTTTTTTGGTTTTCAGAAATTCTTTTTGGAACATCTTGTTCTTGTTTCATATACCGGATTCTCGTGTTTCTTTGAGGATAATAATGATATGCTTTTAAAAATTTCCCTTTCCCTTCATAGTGTATGTTTCCTCAAAATTGTTTGCCTTTGTTTTTGTTTCAATGTTTCATATTAGAAGTTTTGTTCAGATGTTTGGCACTCCTGTCTGCCTATGTTTAAGAGTGGAGGGTTAAAAAATGGAAAGGAACTTTGAGTGTGTATATGGCACTTGTCAACTTTGAGCTTTAGTGAATAGTCATTTCTTGGGGAACCACTAATGTCAATATCTTTAGTTCTTTCTTCTAGGCCAGCCAGTTGGGTTCTAGGAGAACAGGTGTACTATCTCCTACCTAGAGGGTAAAGGTCTAGCTACCAGGGTGCTGGGAGGCCAGCAGCGGGAGGGAGCTGCGGCATTCAACATTTGGTTTACATTTCATCACTTATCCCTGTAGCTTTGGTGACAGTACCCACGCTTGTAATTCTACCTAGCATCTCTAAGTTAGAGACCTTCCATCTGCCCTCTCCAGAAAACAAATCTTCAGACTCTGCCACTGGATGCAGAGGTAGGTGGGTATTCACAGTAACAGTTTACCTGTTTAGCAAAGTGGACAAGTCTAAGGACTTAACTACTTTTCAAATCCCTGTTTTCTTTTTCTTTTTTTAGAGAGGCAACATTGCTCTGTCACTCAGACTGGAGTGCAGTGGTGTGATCATGACTCACTGCAGCCTCCACCTGGCTCAAGCGATCCTTCTGCCTCAACCTTCCTAGAGCTGAGACTACAGGTATGGGCCACCAATCCCTGACTCTTTCCTTTAATTTTTTATAGAAAACAGGTCTTGCCACATTGGCCAGGCTGGTCTCAAACTCCTGGCCTCAAGTGATCCTTGTGCCTCAGCCTCCCAAAGCTGGGATTACCTCTGTGAGCCACTGTGCCCGGCCCCCTCAATTAGTTCTTGTTTCATTCTCTTTGTTTAGCGTAAGATGGAGTAGGTATTATAACCCCACTTTAAAATATGAGGTGAAGGAATCTGAAAGACGCTAAAAATCTTTCCCAAGACTACAAGGCTTGCTAGAAAAGGGCAAAGATGGGATTCAAATTCAAGTTTCTCTGATGTCAAAGAATTAGATCATAATTCTATACTTCCATACAATTCTATTACATTAGAATTATTTTTACTGTGTTAATAGAATTACATTAAATTTTGAGTACAAAATTTAGAAGGCAGGTAACCAGGGCAGCGAGGGGACTTGACATCTTATCTATAAGAAATGGTTGATGGATAGGCTAATCTTTACCCAAAAAGAGATGGTAGAAGGATAAGAGGCTATATCTAATTATTTGAAGACAATCAGAAAACCTTAACAATAATACCTTCCATTACTCATAGTTTGCATGATCTAGAACTGGGATCAACAGGTAAAACTTATAGAAAACAGATTTTAGCTCAGTTAATAAAGTACTTCCTCATTGTCATGGTTCTTCGCACATGAGAAGGACCGTGGTGAGTGACGCTCAGAGCTCAGGCACAGCCTGAATAACCATTTGGTAGGGATATTTGAGGCAAGATCAGTGCAACACTTTACAGAACTATCTATTCTTGCTGAGATTCTAGGACCCGGCCTGGCACGCTGGCTCACATCTATAATCCCAGCACTTTGGGAGGTCGAGTGGGAGGATGGCTTGGGCCCAGGAATTTGAAACCAGCCTGGACAACATGGTGAAAACCCTTCTCTACAAAAAGTATAAAAATCAGTTGGGCATGGTGGTCTGTACCTTTGGTCCCAGCTACTTGGGAGGCTGAAGTGGGAGGATCACCTGAGCCTGGGAGTTTGAGGATGCAGCGAACCGTGGTCATGCTGGGAGGGGAATCCAAGCTAGGTAAAAGGACAAGACCCTTTTTCCAAAAACGATGGTAGGACTCAAAACAGATCTGTTAAAGTACTAAGAAAATACTCTAGAAATCAAATTTGAGTTCCCTCTAGTGAGAAAGAATGATATAATAAGAAACATTTTCAGTAGACCAAGAGGAAAATAATATTTGAGTCAAATATTAATATCTTTTTTTTTTTTTTTGCAATGGAGTTTCGCTCGTTACCCAGGCTGGAGGGCAATGGCGCAATCTCGGCTCACTGCAACTTCCGCCTCCTGGGTTCAGGCAATTCTCCTGCCTCAGCCTCCTGAGTAGCTGGGATTACAGGCACGTGCCACCATGCCCAGCTAATTTTTGTATTTTTAGTAGAGACGGGGTTTCACCATGTTGACCAGGATGGTCTCGATCTCTTGACCTCGTGATCCACCCGCCTCAGCCCCCCAAAGTCCTGGGATTACAGGCGTGAGCCACTGCGCTCGGCAAGTCAAATATTAATATCATGCTATCTTATATACAGATATGCAGTTATGTTAGTCACATATATACGCTGTGACTGAAAAACCTGATGCCAGTGGTTCTCAAAATGTGACTGCAGTAGCGTCATCTGGGGATTTGCCCGTAACAAAGTTCTTGGGTCCCAGATCTACTAAATCAGAAACTGGGGCATTGGGCCCAGAAGACGAAGTTGTAACATGCTGCCAGTGTTTCTGAGGCAGGCTGAAGTTTGAGACCCACCGCTTTCTACTGTTTAGCCACTTTTCTTTCTTACAAGCAGCCTTGTAACTACAACTGCTGACGAAATTGCTTATCATTGTTTACAGTTTTGCAGCTTTGATTCATAGGCTACATGATGCTCTTGCTTATAAAAAGCCACTTCATCTATAATTGCCGCATAGCAATTTACTTTTGTTTTCAAACACTCCGCAGCTGTACACACACTTGAAGCTGCTCTTCAGGGTGCATCCCCACTGCCCATTTAGTTCTCCTGCCCAGGCTCGCTACAGAAGTTATTTGGGTCTCTTGTTAACACTCACACAGTCTACTCAGCAGAGCTGAAAT